GTCACTAACTGTTTGTTACGATTTAGCTATCGCTGAGGTGAGCCACACTCCTACGACGGCGCAGCTAGATCCCAAACTGAGACAGTAGTTATCCGCTCTCCCATGACTATTGCCTCGACACTACTATGACTAGCTACTTATTGTACTTGATATTGAGGAGTACACCATAAATATGATGTGATAAAAAGCTGGTAAGAATAAGGATTATGGAGAGAAATATCAACTATACCAGTAATTATAATTAGTGACGTTTTGCTTTAGTAAATAATGCATTTCAATTCAGTGGCAAAAGCAGCTTTTATATTAGCTACATACCTTCTACTTCATTCACAATGCTTCACGTTTTTGAATAATTTTGAATAGTTAAATAATTAAATTGTCGTCGGGGTTTTTTTGCAAAACTCTTCAACAATTTCATGATGCTTCCTTTGCATTCAGACATAATAATAACATATTAATATCTAATATTAACAAATTTATTTTATTGCAAGTCGCCTCGGCTGACTGCACATTTTATTGTGGAGGAAAGGATGCATTGAGAAGGGCAAAAATTTTGATTCGTTACATGTGAAGTGGGAAAAAATTAAATAACATTGTTGATTCATCCATAGGAAGTTGTCTCATTGTGCTAAGATTAACGTATTTGTCAAAAGCTTGACATGTTTGAATAGTCTTTCAGCATTATTTGTTGTAAAAATTTAAGCCTTTTGAAACCTCTGTAATGCTGATGTTTTGGACTAGTTCTGTCATTGGCTTCTTAGTAATAAATTCGACTGCTTTCTATATATTATTCTTATTCTGTTCACTAAAAAATACTAGTACGTCTTTGTTAACTTTTTGTTGTTTGTGGTTGGATGTCAGAAAACAATATCATACTAATGACGTAATTAGTAGAGACGAAAAATCAGAACATTTCAATAACTTCTTTATTCAGTCTCTGTCACAATTAGAAAAGCATGTAAGGAAAGCAGAATCACCAACCAACCAACCACATTTTAAAATCAATAAAGAACGCAAATCTCCACCACATTTTAAATAAAAATTTTTAGTTTTTTGTAAATTTGAGACTATGTCAGAGTCCCCTGCATATAAAAGTATTCTCTTTTAGCATACATCAAATTGCATTTCTTTTCTCTCTTGAAGATAATCTTTGTGGGCACTGTGCTTTTTATTTATAATTATGTAATGCTATCATAATCGCGCGAAGTTACGGGCGTGCATTTAGAGGGGATTTGCATATTACTTATTACTATGGTGAGGCTTCGAAACAAGCGTGCAGGGCAGAATATGGTGAGTGCGCATTTACGTCTAGCTCCCAAGCTAAGGTGGCGTGCATTTCTGGAGGGTTTACTGTAACAGTAATTAAAATTTAAATTGGGACATCAGTTTACTGTAATAATAAGGATTGATAGTAACCATAAACAAATGTAATTGTATAGAGATTATTTGATTAACTACAGGGAAGTGTGACCAGTAAAATATATCGATATAAACAATTTTATTTAAAAAGTGTCTCGCGCTAGGGATTTAGCTATTTTCGAAGGGAGCGTGGCGTTTCTAATCGTAATTAATTATATCGTACAATTAAAGCTGGTGACCTGTACGCTGAGGCTTTAAACATCTACGATCCGTTGACGTTGTACGTAAGGCACACTGATTTTCGATAATTATGTAGTTTTCGAGGTTCTTACTGTAACAATCTACCGGTTGAAGTAAAGTGTTTTTACCACTGCGATTAAACATTTATCAGGGAACGAATCTCTAATGATATACGTGGGGTGGCTAAAAAGTTCTGATCATGAATTTTTACCTTGACGAGATGCCGGTCTTAAAAATTTGATGCGACTTGACATATTAGTTATTGAGTAACGTTCAAAATTTTATTTCTCCGGTCTTCCATGCAATTCTTGCAAATTTTTATTTTCTTGTTGTGATTCATGTGATCACTGTCGTAAATCGAAATTTTGCGAACTATGGTAACGGGTATATTCCGATCTAACACCACAATCCATGCATCTATGCAGTTCCTAAAGAATTGTTTGAACAACAGAAGGAAAAAAAACATTATATAAATTGCTTATAAATGTATGGAGATAAGAATTTATAAAGATTATATTCATAACATATGGAGTAATTCGCAACATTTCGAAAATCAAACGCCGAGTGTTTGAAACATTTGCTGCAGACATCGAATTGCATTAAAACTTTGCAAGTCATTGGGATTTTTCATATAGAATGTTCAAAGAAATTTTCAATGTCATTCCTAATTTCTATAATGAATTAGAAATTTCCATTCTCTCTAATCACGACTATTTCCCAATTGATTTAGGGTATCTACTAACTCTAGTGCCCCAATGGATACTGACCCCAGCACCCCTGGAAACAATAAAGACCTCAAATTCCAGAGGGTTTTTGAAACTTTCTCCTGGGACAATGTCCAAAGCAACCTGATGGGCCTACGCTCCCCATCCACCAGAATTCCTCCAGCCACTGATAGGGACTGCGCCTTCCTTGACCTCCTAAATATATCGCCGACAAACGTACATAACTCACTTACCAGGTCAATTCAGGCCAACTTTTTTTTCAGTTGTCCATTGGAACCTCGGGTTTGCATAATCTTGGTCGACTTTGGCTGTGTGGCGGGGCCGTAGCCACTTTTAAATATAACGAGCAGTTGTTGGGATAAAAATCACGATCAAAACTTTTCAGCCACCCCACGTGTTTCAGGGTATAAAAACTACTCGTCTCTTTACAGTAATAAAAGAATCAAATAGTAATATTGCGAACAGCATGTACTAGGACATTTTTCTGATCCGCGGCTGCTTATATAATTACACACTTGCAGATTGTGATTTGTGATTCAACAAAGTCTGTGACCCAGTTTGGAGATGTTCAAGATTGTATTCACATGCTATTGTGCTCATAAATGATAAATTTTGTCATCATAATTGGGTGGTCTGATGACTTGAATGAATGACGTTCTTTGGTCGTCAATCGATAACTTACCACGATGGTACTTGAATGACGCCATCTTGTTTTGGCAATTGGAAACAAATATTCTACGTTACACGTGGAAAGAATGGATTTAATATAATTACGAGAATACATGTTTCTCATTCACATTTTTGTATCTTACTTATATTCCCCCTGGCCAATAGCCACATTTCTTTATTAATTCAGCATAGCTAGTTCGTCATATTTAGCAGTTTTTGTATTTGTCAAAGAAAACTTGGCATTCTTTTTATCGAGTAGTCTTCTGGTTAAGGCAACTTTAACCTTTAAATAATACAGCTAATCAAAGCGCCCTCAACAAGTTATATATTGAAAATAATACATCTATTACAAATGTTTATATTTAGAAATTCAGGATCATAATAATACATAATAATAGCGTAGCAAATGATGTAAACCAATGAGATTTAGTATAGTTAAGAATCTCGTGTGAATTCGGATATTCGTAAAATCCAAAAATAATGACTATATTATTTAAATTACTATATCGGATAAATTATAATAACAGAATAAGCTTTCAGACCTTTATCATCAATTTATTACTGTAGCGCGGGTATGTGGGTATGCAAGGGTTCCCTCAGAGTATATAATGCGATGCATGGAATATTCAACGAATCGTTTGCAGCCACGGTTGAAACTCTTAACCATAATTGTAATTGATTGGCTGATATATTATCATCGCAGATATCAAACGCTGACCTGATACATGTTTAATAATCGAATTTATCGACTTATCCGTTGTCAAACTCTGCATCTACACCTCACTTTGATTATGAGGGCTGATCAACTCTATTTACCGCAAACGACTTAATAACGTAATAGTCAATAGTAAGAATACTTTGGGCTCTAAACCGTTTAAAGCGCAATGATCTATTTGATTATTCAGCCTATGATGACGTAACATAACATTTATTGTCGTCGTCAAACACAATTGTTCACCTAACCTCATCGGCTAATGACATCAGTGTAAATCGAAACTCCTATTCAAGTGAACAAGAAACAGTCATATCAATATACATCAATGATTGAATACAGCTAAGAGACAATACAAACCGGTCATTATTAAGCCTAAAAGAGGACTCGGGTGATAAGTTGATTCCCTAGGGAAGTGGGAAAAGAGCAAATATTGAGGTTAGGGTCTTTGTACTACTGTCCTGAGAAGACAGTACTGTATAAAGACTACATTTCGATAACAACAGCGAAAGAACTTCTCCTTAATGAATTAGAATATTAATAGTGTTGTCTTGTTAATATATGAATATGTAGTCGGAACCAATCAGAATATTAAAAAAAATCTTTTTCAGAAATGAACGATCGCCCCCCGCATGCAAAGATATGTAATACTGATAGTAAGGTTTTGATGGGGTGGGGGATGAAAAAGCATCAGCACAATACTAATACTGTCAGTAACCCCTTCTTTGTAACAGCAGCCCTATCAGCTTTTCAGTGTGTCCATATATGTTTACTATTACAATACAATTCACGTGTATGACATCTTACAATACACAATATAAATTATAATACACGCGGTTCGAATGCAATCGATAGTAATGTTGACAATCTTAGGACCCTCGGAAATGGAAATTGGCAAGTAGAAAGACGACTGAATGAAAATCCGATAGATTTAGAACCAGATTATGGCCAGAGCGTCAAAGCTACATAAGAAGAGCCTTCTGCCCCGCTCTGACCTTGAACTTTACAATCCGCCCTACTTTCATCATCTTGACCTCAGCCAAACTACACTAAAAAAACACCCCAGCCCTAAAAAAAGACCCCGATTCCTAAAATGTCCATCACTCCCACAGATTTTAAACTTCAACGATCACCCATCCCCACCAAAGACTCTCTTCCTGCCCGTAACGGAACCCAATTCTGGTCTACTTGTGATCCTCCACTCCACATCAACGACGACCACCGTAAAAGGGACGATAATCTCGCTAATAAACAGAAAACTCTACGAGCATTATTCTTCAAAATCATGAAAAGGTTTATTAGAAAAGGGTTCAAAAAACACAATTCAGGCTGGGGCAAAGGAAAAAGTTTGGCCAAAACAACCGACCATGAAACAAGCGTCGATAAAAAACACGAAATTGAACAGACCGTTAAGGATCAACCCAACAAGAATAGAGCGAGCGAGCTAGAATATTATGAGAAGCATTACAAATATCAATACTCTCATTCCACACCATTGAATTACATGGAATATACTATTTATGAACCGCAAAATATAACCAACAGAGGATGTATGACGGCAAACTGTACACCAGATTGTTCGCTACCATATCGTAGAAAGCTCTCTTTAGAACAGAAACGCCTCTTGACTAACGTTATACTCAGCAACAAACATTTACTCTTAAAACCGGTGGAAGACACAAAATCACTATCCAGACCTCCTTCGTACGAATTAGGACCACCCAAATATGACACTGATACTAGACCACCGTCTTATAATAGTGAATGGGAAGACGAAGAGTGTGTAAAGGAAAGGGACAAAAAGAGCATTATCATAAAGATAGGGACAGAGACTGATGGGTCGATGATTAAGGACGACAGCGGAACAGAACGTGAGTTGGACGGACACGAGAGCGAAATAGTGCACGATGAAGTTCTTCAGTGTACCAAAGACGACATAGAAAGTAAACTGTGCAAAGACATAGACATTATGGATATAAGGGTTTTAACAGAGGCCGATAATCTTTTTCTTGATTTCTTGCTTTCAGAAACAAAGACTACCCAAGCACACACGGAAAACGTCTGTATGTGCTGGTGGAGAGGCGAAGTTGACATTCTCGAAATTACAAAGCATGTAGTAGTGTGAATTTTAGTATGCTGATACTTGGAGATTTCATCATCATTTGCTTTTTACACGTTTAATGATTCATCACAGTTTTTCTTATGTCTTTTCTAGTGTGGCGATACAAGAGTTGCATCTTTTTTATCAGTGCTTTATGTGTATATGTATATAATATTATACAGACTGGTTGTGAAATATGACTTGGGATATCGTGTTGGTGGACAAGGATTGAATTTTGTAAATAAAAGTTTAAACACACCAGGCGTTATGTTGTTCTCGATAACGACTAACGCTCGCTATATGCAGTTGCTTTGTTTGTAAATATGCGTTGATGTAGTAATTGCATTTGGCGTAACCTACCATAGAGGAGTAAAGATAAGGCGTATATACAGACTGGGGGGGGAGCCACATTTTGGAGCACTCTCAGTGTTGGGAGCAATTTGTTATTCAAAAGTGCCGTTTCGTTGCTTGTGATCATGGGAATCTTTTTTTTTATTTGCATATATTTACATCACAAATGGCATGTGAAACTGGTGGGTTTACCATAAATATACTAACTATATGTAGTGTCTCGCGTGCTTGTTTGACCAATAATACAATTGATCTACCCGGAACTATAGTTTCCTGATAAATATACTGTTTTATTTCCAACTTGACATTTTGTACAACAAGAAATTCGAACTACCAAATTTAGTCTCAGATCCACCTTACACAAATATCTGCTAATCAAAATTTCCCGCTCAGGGCAATCAAAAAGTCTAACAAATTTCAGCGTTTTCTACCATTATCCGGTTTGGGGTTTGACCTCCTCCATCCTCTGGGTAATAATTAATAATCGAGAACAGGTGATTGTTTTCTTCGACCTCGTCCCGACCGCTCTGCTCAAGCCGATGATATTTTTACCGATAATTTCACTGTTAGCTAAAAAATGTGAGATGTCTGATGGTGTTGGTTCTCCCCACCATTCATACTCAGCCATTAACAATGGGCGTCCTTCTGATGAATAAGTTTTCATTGTTCAGTCTTGAATGACAATGTTATCTGCATGCACGTCGAGAATACCCAGTCATTGTGCAAAATGGTCGCATGATGCATCATCTCGTCTGCAGGCATTATTATGCATCCCGGATTATTATCAAGTAGCACAGTGACGTCATGTTTTATTTATTGGTTTATTTTATATTAATATCTATTGGATTCTTCTGTATGATAATCTTTCTTCGAATGATGGTTTTTACTATCGTGCCTAATGGAAAAACTATCTGACGTTATGGCTTAGTAATAAGTCTGCATTCAAGTGGGGTGACTACTTTATTTATTGCT